AGAAAAAAACTTATTTATTTTGTTATATATATGTAACATGAATATCAAATTGATGCTCGTCAAAATATAATTAACTTAAAATTTATATACTAAAATCTAGTTACAAAAGAAAAAGTTATTAACTTTCAAAACTATTTATAATATGAGTATGTAAAATATTTTAGGGTAACAATTTTGTCCAACATGTACTACACGTGTTTTTGGGATCTTCAACCTAAAGTATTTTTTGTTGTAAAATACAACCTGAACTATATATACAGTCACTATTTGCACGCTCGACCACATCTTAACCATACACGTGTCCTTTTTTGCACACGATCGGACGGTCAAAAAGTATTCGAGCGTGCAAATAATTGTATATATGTAGTTCAGGTTGCATTTTACAACAAAAAATACTTTAAGTTGAAAATCCTAAAAACACCTATAATACAGGTTGGAAAAAATTATTTACTCAATATTTTATAATTTTAAAATTCAGAGTCTAGATCTACATGAACTACTCCGATCACACTTGTGTTAGAAATTGTTGATAAAACTTCATAACTATTATTTTTTTTTTTTAAAGTCGTTTCAAATCATTCATACAACCACAGATTGTTGATAAAACTTCATAAATATTATTTTTTTTTTTTTTTAAAAGTCGTTTCAAATCATTCCTACAACCATAGATTATTTTTATATTTAAAATAACACTATCACATTATAGTACTATAATATGTTTTAAAATTTGATTATATAACAAAAGTTTTGAGTCATACTATATAACAGTTTAAAAATTTTATTTATTTAATTGATAAATAATTTAGTATTTTTTAGTTAACATTGATATATAATTTAATTATTATTATAAAAATAAATATACATATCTATTTGTACATGCAATATAGATATTAAATAAAAGCTAGACAAGTAATTTGATATACTACCTCCTATTTTTAATATATGTCGTTTTGAGAAGTTGCACATTAATTAAGAATAATTTTTTTGTCAATGACAACCTTATTTAATGAAGATAGAGATGAATGTTTTAAGAAAAAAATGGAGAGTGAATATGAAAAGATGTAATGTATTTATGTGCTAAATAAGGGTAATAATGGAAAAATATGTACAAAAGATTAAAAAAGATATTTATTTAGTTAATAGTTGATAAAACTAGAATCCCCCTCCCCCCTATATATTAATCCAGAACGCGCTGAGCCTACGTGGCTGCTTTTGGTGCTTCGGAATCCTAGGTGGCAAAATTACATGCTTCGTTATTAGGGTTGGGTAAATTTTAATTTAATTTCAAACCAAAAATAATTAGGTTCGTATTACCATAAATATGTTGATTATTTATGGTAATGTAACATGTATTAATTGCATTTTAATATCATTCCTTATTATAACTATTGAATTGTATATATATTTTAAAAGTTAATAACTTTTGTATTTTTTATCAGTTTTACATATGTAATATCAAATTAATCTTCTTTTGATGAGCTTTGATTTAATATCCATATTGTATGTATAAAAAAAATAATTCATATTTATCTTTATAACAATAATAAAATTATTTTTAATATTAATTAGAAAAATAAAATTATTTATCAACTAATATATTTATATTAAAGTAGTTATATGATATAAGTTATAAAAACTAATATAATATAACACATGTAAGTCATAAGTAACACATATCATTCTTAAATATATAGTAATATATTTTTTTTTTTAAAAAAGTAAACTAAATTTAATATAGTTTTCTCATTAATTTTAAAGTTTAAGAATAATTTTTTAACAAGCACCCGTGTAATACACTGGTGTTGTACTATTTACATTTAAAAAAAAATAGGAGAGATTATCATATGTGAAAAATTGATAATCAATATAAGAGTTACTAGTGCATACCCCGTGCGATGCACTTGATACATATAATAAATCAATTATTTTTATAGGAGTTGTACGTCTAGACAAAAAAAAACAATAGGCTTGGATCATCCATATTTCACATCTTTTAATAAGTGGTGTTTATTTAAGCCAAAAAAATTAACATGATAATTAATATATAATTCCACTAACACGTCATACTAATATTTATTTGATTTTAGAATACATATTTATTCATTGATATAAGAAAAAATAAAAATTTTATTTATTCTTGTTCACCATATAATACTCGATTATTATTTTATTATAAAATTTCTAGTCATATAATGTCATTATTATTATTTATAAAAATTATAGAAGTAGTCTTCTTTATGTAATAAAATTCAAAATAAATTATTGAGTATAAATGTTTACAAAATACGCACACATGTTTTTTAGAATTCAATTTTCTCATAATATTTTTTTTTTTAAAAAAAAAAGAAATAATTTAGTAATTGCCAAAAAAATAAATTCTTTACATAATAAAAATATTTTTTCTAATTTTCATCCTAAGGCTTTATAGTTTATTTAACATATTATGCAATAGAAAAATATTTTACAATAAGTTCATTTTTGAAACATAACAAAAAAAGTGATAAAAACACTATCATAGTTGACAATAATATACAAATAAATAACATGTCGAAATTTTAAAGAATAACTAATATAATTTTATTATCTAACCATCAATAAAATCATTTAATGATGAGATCATTATCTTTTAAATGATAAATAATATTATTTTTTTAAAAAAATATTAGTTTTATATAATTAAATAAAGGTTAAAAAATATTACTCGACAAATATTAATTATAATGGATATCAATAAAATCATTGCATAAATTATTTAAGGAAAAAATCTTTAAGATCATATATGGATAGTAAATGTAAATATGCAAGCATTTAATGCATATAGTAAAAAAATTTCCAAATAAGGTATGCATTAAATGTGTGTTGACTTTTCTTGCTACTATTTTTGGTAAATAGGTTGGCTTTTAATATATATACTAGTACAGAGCCCGTGCGATGCACGGGGTGCACAATGTTAAGGCCATATATACAGCGTTATAATTATATAAATGAATAAAAAGATGTAGGGATATATATAGTACGTGACCTGAGCGAGATACGGGATATATTCATTTGAGGAGTATTATAATTTAATGCAATATTCAATAAAAGTTGTACAATACACAGGAAAATTGTACAATAAAATAGTATTGAAAAAAGAAACAATCATATATTATCAAAGGCCTCCTTGCACACAACATTATGAGTTTGATTATCGGGTAACTCCTCATTCTCACAAACTAATATCTTCAACCCCCTTCTATTAGTCACACGCGAAACAACAACATATAATTGACCATGAC